GAAGCACCAATGAGGGGGAGAGTCAGGTCTATGATTCTTGGCTAACGTCTAACTATGCTGAAGGTCAGCCATAGGAATATAACCACTGGGCTCTCAAACAGCACATCTGGATTGCTTTTGAGAATGACAGCCCACCATGTAGCTTGTTGCCTTCTGGACGGGCTTAACATGGCTGAGACATAGCCTGGGGGGCCCTTCTTCATCATCATTGGGACCTGGAGTTGAGGACTCGGTGTGTTCCCAAATCCAGCTACTGCCCTTTTCTTTCTCCCTCCTCTCATCTTGGCCCCCTACTCCTACTTGTTCTCTTTCTGGGTCCTTCTCTTACTTCATTTATTATTTAATTTAAGAAATAAAACAAGGAAAATAAAAGAGGGGCTCTTGTTTAAGCATTTTCTGTACAAGGCATGTACTGTTTAGGAGGGTGACATGGCACATACCAAGATAAGAAACCAGCAGCTGTCGGGCAGTCCTCTAACCTGTTCTGTGGGATGATTCATCAACCCTGCTAGTGCTCCACTGTAGTCTGGAAGCTTGTTCCAGGACCCAAGAACTGCTAACCCACCTTTGACCTGCTCTACGGCTGCCTGCAGCATGAAATTCACATCTAACTGTGCTCTCTTTGTCCCAGCTCGTGAAGAGGCTGGGAGCTGCTTCAAGATGTTCACATACAGGGTCATACTCTGAAAATTACAGCTATGCACAAAAGCTGGAGAAATCATAAATGCCCGTGATAACGGAATTGGTCGGACTGATGTACTAGTCCAGACCTCACTATTTTTAAGTGTTGCAAATGGAACAGGACAAGCAGCCCATAGATATTTTTCCTAATACCTTGTATCTGATAAAGGACTTACAGACTTCAATAAATGGCATTATATCGTGGGCCTGCTTACTGTTACTTGTCCTTTCCTAAGTGGTCATCTGGACTGACCCTGTAACTGAGACCATCAGCTCTTCAGGAGGAGGGAAATGATTTCATTATGCAAATGGAGCTTCACAGAGGAAGATGAAAAATCCTGTGGGTTACAGTGACTATGAACCAGAGAGAAGTCTCTCATACCCACATGGATGTGAAGGACAGAAATGAAGGATTAGTGGAGTTATAGTTGGAAGTGAAGAAGCAAGAAAATTAAAGGTAGCATGAAGGGGAAAAAACAGTGAAAAGGAAAAACAAGCAGACACAAACTGCTCAATATCTCTTTCCCCAAAGTGGGAGAATGAGCACCTTGGAAAAAAGGTCGAGCAGCCAAACACTTCCATGTAGCCATTGAAGGGCAGGGACCAAGCAATGCTCTTTACCCTCTGCAAGCATCTCGGTCACAGAGAGGAATGAGATCAGAGGAGATCATGGTATAGCATGTGGAAATATTTAAAGAAACGGGCAGGGACCAAACGTGAGAACCAATGGAAAGTCCCTGGCTCTCACCCTTCTTTGGTGTTGACATTGGACCAAAGCTTTCAACATAATCATTGTCATTACATAAAGTGGTCCTTGCCTCCTCGGGAATATTATTAAAGACATAAACTATGAAAATTATTCAATCTAACATATGAGTACAAGCAGAGTGAGGTGGAAGAATTTGGAAGTTATCAGCATGAGGGAGAGAGGCAGGAAACAAGTTTGTGGAATGTTCCATAGGAAAAGAGTACTGAAAACAAGGCACGGCAAGTAGGAGGGGAGGGCAGGGCACAGAGCAGGGTGGGCAAGGGCAGGATCAGCTAGTGGTATTTCCAGAGTAAGTAAAAATAAAAATTCCAAGACCAATCTAAAAGGGGAGTGGCTGCTGGGCTCCTCATGCAAGGACCTGGGAAAGGGAAGAGAAGGTCTGGAAAGGAGGCTGATGCTGAATGGAGGATGCGGTAGAAGAGTCCTCAGGTCTGATGTGGGCAACACCAAGTGCAGCCTAGCACAGCTCACGCTGACATGCACACCTTTCAGAGGCTGGCATATAATCCTACTCCAGTCCAGGATCTGAGTGCAGTTTGTCCTGGGAAGAATTCATAAATACTTACCTTTCAAGTAAGGCCAGAAAGGCACAACCCATGTCACAAGCACAGAGTCCCACATACATTTGGATGAGCCCCTCTAACGGTTCCCCATTTCACCTGGCCTTTGTACTTCATTTGCCAGAGTCAGAAAAGCAGGCAGCAGAGTCACTTTCTGTCCTTGAGCACCTACTGCATCTTCAGGGTTCAATGGAGGTCAACCCTCAGCCTGCTCCCTACTGACTGTTCCAAGAGGTTTGAGCATCTGTATAAACCAAATACGCAACAGGCATGGGGTCTAACTGGCCCTTAGTTCTACTGGGTCCCAGATTCGACAAGACAGTTACCTGTGCTGTTGACTGGCTACCTAGAACACACAGATTTTGCCCACTGATCATTCCCAAGATGCTGATTACCATAAACTGTAGCCTGGATGAAGGACTTGAAGGCTAACCAAGCAGCTTCTTAGGCTCCTTTAAGGCCAGTGACATCAATTTTATGATGTCTGTATCTGTGTATCTGAAGTTTTTGCCTATCTGCAGGTACAGACACAAGCATCATGAAACTGGTGCAGACTGCGAGGCTTGTATGTTCCTCCCTCTTTGTCCTCTAGGGGGAGCTGGACGACTTGTAAACCTGGTATTAGGCTTTGAGGTAAGCAAAAAGGTATTTAGGGGCGTTAGAACTTGCAGGCGTTTCTTCATTTGGCTTTGCAATTGGTAATGGAGACTAATGGAAACTGAGTTTTTTTTTTTTAACTAAAACAAACAAGCAAACAAAAAAGCAGTTTCAAATCAATGTACCTATTGGTTTGAGGTCTAAATAAACAGGATCTGGCTCCACTTGATTTAAACAACTGAATTTGAGGCTGGCTGGCAAGTAACTCACGGCTAAGGGTGCAAGCACTTTCCTTCCTTCCATCCTCCCTCCCTCCCTTCTTTCCCCTCTCTTTCTTTCTCTCTTTATTTTTTTAAGTAGGCTTCATGGCCAGTGTGGAGCGCAATGTGGGGCTTCAACTCACGACCCTGAGATCAACACCTGAGGTGAGATCAAGAGTAGGATGCTTAACCGACTGAGCCACCCAAGCGCCCTGGGAGTAAACACGTTCATGTATTATGATCCCTACTGAGGAAAGAAAAGAACTCGTGGCCTAGTTTAGGAAATCATAGCCTGATAGGGTAGGGAGAAAGAAATATGTAAGCCTGTCTCAACCCATAGGACTGAGAGCAAATGGAACCACTGAAGGGGCTCTCGTACTTGGCAATTAGAATTGGAATAGAGAGAAAGAAAGGCCTCAACTGCTCCACTTTGGGACTTTCTGGGTCTTTGTTTGGGGGCCTGGATGGACGTGGTGCAGAGTTCCGTGACAAGCGGGTATGGGCTGGCTTTGGGCTCCAGGGTACTCATTAGAAGGCACCAGCTTTGGCCTCATTTACATGCTGCTGATCAGCATTTAGGCTATTCCTTAATGAGCATCAATGACAGCTGTCTAACAGAAGAGTACAGATGGCATAACTCAAGGGGTTTCAAAAATGGAGGAGCCCCCAGTGCAACCAAGAGCTGTGGACACTCATTCATCAAGAACTGTTTAGCTCTACTAACATACTGCTCTAAATGGGAAAGAATACTTCTGTGTGGTAGGTGAGGTAGGTTTGGAAAAAGCAGAAGATGGTGAAGCTGATGGCGTGGGATCATCCTGTTTTTATCATCTCAGGAGAATCAATCATTTATTTCTATTTCTTGCTGTTTTACATCAACTTGAAAGATATAAGTGCCACTTTTTGGATATATAAGTAGGCATTGCTTGAAGTTCTATGTGAATGTGATCATTTACAGCCTTGAAATAGTAACTACAGAACTCAACGGCAAGGCTAGCCACATCTCCTTCATTCTGGAATTATAAAGAATTACAGGACTATGAGCACTGGATCTTGAGTAAACTTTTACCTTGTCAGGTCCTGAGAAGTTTTTTTTCAGTAAATAATCAACTTTTTTGACTGCTGGAATAATAAACGTCTCTCCTTAAGTGCTTCAATTGCAGATTAGGGATCCTTGTTCACAGAAAAGGCTTTGGGGCTCTGCCTCATATTACCCCAGTGCCTCTGGTTCCCAGGCTAAAAAAACTGTTTCACCAGATGAATGCTTTGTATCATACATCTGGTAAAATAAGATCCTTGGGCGGGGGGAGCCAAGCAAGCGCTAGGTGATTACGGGCACATGGCATCATGCACTGCAGGGTTCAGATGCTCCTAAGCCACAGGCAGGTGGCTACGCTGAGCAGCTCTATGCTCCCTGCTGCTCTACATCCCCCTCCCATAGCGGTAAACTGACTTGTCTGGGTAGGTTGCCAGTTCTTAGCACACAAAACTGCTCATGATGACAGTTGTTCATTAAAGTGGCTAATGGAGATGATGGTCACTCTAGGTCATGGCGAAGAGACAGAGGAAAGCAGTGAGCCATGAAGTGTAGCTGGTGGCATGAGCTAATTCTAGTGGGAGAATGCCCAATATTACTGAATATTTCAGGTGAAATGGACTGGGGCAGAAAATCAATATGTGAATTAATCTGCATTCCACTGCAGAATGACTCAAACTGTGTTCCTTCCGGCAAAGGGCTGAGACAGGGAGGGGCACCAGGCAGGAAAGTCTCTGGCCATGATGTGGGGCCTGGAGAGCTGGAAACCTTGTTTTAGCTTTTGTACCCAGACCTTTGAGGGTAAAGCTATTGCTTGGAAAACCTTAGGTCAACTTAGGTTTGTCTCCAGCCTGCCAGACATCTCTCCTTAAACCAAAGGTAGCAATGGTTTCCAGAAAGGCCTGGAAGTGTCCACAGTGGATGCTGTGTGAACTGAGAGAGCCTACGAAATGGTTTGGCTCCTCTTCACACATCATCTCTTCTTGTGGGGGTTGAGTGTGTGGTGGGAGGTGGAGGGGTGGGCTATGCTCGGCCGCCCAGTCCTGGCAGGGCTCGGAGAAGGGGCACACAAAGGGAGAAAGGAGAGTTCTCCATACCTTCATCTCCTCCTCCATCTCAGACATTTTCCGCTCCAAGGCTCGCCTCTCCTGTTTAGAAACAATGAGACTGTTGAACATCTACTGGGCTTAGAAGGGCATCAAAATGCTGCCTCCCAGCTGCCATGTGATCAGCAGTGGCATGTCCCAGGCAAACCTCAGGCAGGAGGCTAAGCACTATCTGATCTGTGGTGTGAAACTACTTCACTGAGAGAAATCACACGATCTAAATCTCCCATCAGAAGATACGCAAATGGTAGGACCAGGGTACTTGGGGTTATTCTGTGGAAGCTGAAGATTTCATGGAATTTCAAATGACTGCAAGTGAACAAGACCCTTGCTCTCTATTAACATAAAGTCATCATTATTTTCAGTAACTCTCCCCTCAAATTCCTAAGGAACTGCTTCTCTTATGATGGGGAGCAGATGGTGAGTGGGGAAGTAGCCATCATTGTCTGTGAAGAAATAGCACCCCTCCCCCTAACCCATTTCTTTCCCAGCAACTGACTCCTGATTTAGCTTGAACTCAATGAAGATTCCTTGATTAGATGAGATACCAAGGAGGTTTTGTTACAGGCCAAGGAAATAAAATATAAAACTTTGCTGCTTTCCAAATTAAACAGGAGAGATAGGAACATATTATACCCCTAGGGTCACATCACAGCTAGGGTTCATCAATAAATCTGAGTTTTCCCAATCCAAGAATGTCAAATCCTAGAAAAATATTCTGAATGCAGTTGGGAGGAGGTCAGCAAGTGAACCAGAACCTGCCCCCTCCCCCCCCACCCGACCCCCAGAGTATGTGAATGACTCTGCCAGCTCATATTTCAAGTTATAAGACCTAAATCAATGGCAGAGGGTCCTGCTGAAACTTCCTTTCTGTTCAAGGTGATGGGAAGGGTAATGTGATGAATATGTATGCTGATTTACAGTAAACCAAAATACACTGTAGGAGTGTGTGTGTGTGTGTGTGTGCGCGCGCACGCATGTGCGTGCAGTTCTGCCTATAGGCCAAACCGATGCATGAAATGACCTTCCAAGGACCCTTCCCATTCTTAGACATGAAAAGTACTGACTATCTGGAGAAGCCAAAAGGCCTAGCAATCAAACTGCTGTCCAGAGTCACACAAAAAGAATTTATTATCAAGCTGGGAATGGAATGTGGCAGAACTCCCGCCTTCTTAAGACGAACTTTTTCCACTGGCATGAACAACAAAGAGAAACTGAGATGAAACAGAGGGGAAGAGAAACACACTCGTACGTACCCGTTTCTCCATCTCCAGCATTGACGATCGGTCAGAGGTCTTTTCTTGTTTCTGCTAGTGCAAATTGAAGAGAAACAGTGGTCACTTACGTTGTCTCAGGGTCACTAGGAAGCCCAGTCTGGTTCAGCTTCACCGCTGGACATCCAGAAATAGATGTCAGGGCTTTGGGCTCTCACTGTGACTGAGGCCCCTAGTAAACAGATTCTGATAGATCTCTAAGCCTAACATTATTGCCTCTCTGAAGTTTACAGGATTCCCGCTGCGGAGTGGAAAGCAGTAGTAGTGTTCCATGAAATTTAACATGGCCACAAGTGCAAAGATATGACCATAACACATACTCAAACTCTTGCTAGGTCTTCAACACAACTATCTTCTTATACCTCACCACCCTCTCTCGTCTTCTTTTCTGTGAATAATCTCACAACCCAGAGGAAATGAAAAGTGGCTTTTCTTCTTTGAAAGCTACAGACTTATGAACTTGAGTGTCTAAGCTCCATGGCGTTCTTGTTCCTTTTTTTTTTTTTAATGTTTATTTATTTATTTTTGAGAGATGGCAAACACAAACAGGGGAGGAGGAGAGACAGAGAGAGAGAGACAGAGACAGAGACAGACAGAATCTGAAGCAGGCTCCAGGCCCCGAGTTTTCAGCATAGAGGCTGATGCAAGGCTTGAAGCCATGAACCATGACATCATGACCTGAGCCAAAGTTGGATGCTTACTTGACAGAGCCACCCAGGCGCGCCTCCCATGGCACTCCTGTAAGCAATCCCTTTGCACTCTATTCTTTCTGCTTTGGGCACTGAGGCTGTTTTTCTTTTAAAGTGGTGGTTTTCACATGTGGGTGGCCTTCTAGGGGTTCTGAGGAGCCCACTCAAGGGATCTGCTTTGAACTCAACAGTTACACTTTTATCTGTTTTGTATATTGAAGTTCCAGGTAAGGTAAGATTTTATCTGAACAAAAGATTAGAACTTTGTTTTAGAATATCTTTGACTTTCATTATAAATTTCACAGAAGTGCTAAAAGATTTAGCCACCACAGCTAAAAAGTAGAATAACTTCAGGCAGTGACTCTTAAACAGGGAATGGAAATGAACCCTTATGTTCCTTTTGGCTGTAGCATTATAAAATTTCTCACAATTAGTAAACACAGATGATTATTTTTATTTTGCCCAGTACTATGCACAGACAACATTTAACAAATACAGAAAGTCTTCTTTAAGAAACTTCTCTTTTCAAAATACTAAGGAGTAGCTAGAAATAACAGTAAAATTCTTGATTTCTGGCTCCTTTCCTGGGCTTTCACCTTCCGTTCTGAAGGTCATGGCCGCCTGCCTTGACACTGAATCTACTATGAAGTGGGAGGAAAAGAAATAAGGTAGAAGTAGATCCTGGAGCTTGTTTGCATCCTCGTCAGCTGGAGAAGCACAAAAGTTGTACTGATTTCACTAATTATTTAGTTCTCTTCTACAAAGAACCTAGTTTTTTTGTTTTCTAAATCTTAACCCCCTTAAGAGTTAGGGTGGACCTTTTATGTAAACCGTCATGTGTGTCCATGTGGTAACTGTCTCCCTACAATGTGTGGGGCTGACAGGCCCCCTTCCTCTCTGTCCTGCCAAACAGTCCCATTTGTGGTAAGCAGCAGAGACCTGGTTTGCAGCACCATTATTTCTTCTGAATTTCAATAACTTGTATTTGGCAAAACTAAGTATATTCTGACACACCCGGCAAAGCAGTTGGCTAGAGAGTGAACCTTCCCCAGTGACTGGAAAGGCTGATTTTATTTTCAGTGTCCTCTGTGCAAGTCAGTGTCAGCAGCTTATTAGACTGCTCACTGCTCTGAAGCGCAAGCTGGTGGAAAAGCCGAGAACCCCTAAAGGTCAAGAAATGTGCTGTCAGAAGAGGGCTTCTGGAGAGAGTGGGGAGGCTGGGAAAGTGGGTCCTCCTGTGGTTCCTCACATGATTGCTCCCCAATTTTCTGTAAAATAGCCCCAGTAATTCCTGATCAGAAGCACCATATGATCTCTACTAATTCATCATTGCTGATTGGGGGCACTATTCAGAGTAAAAGTCAGCCCTGGGAATCTTCTGAGGGTGTACTGTGAATGAGACATTTTGCCTGGCTCAGTAATGTTGGGGTCAAAATAAACCCTTGAGGTTTATTTATTTTTGTGTGTGTGTGTGTGTGTATGTTTTTTTTTTTTAATCGTTTATTGTGAAGTTGGTTTCCATATAACACCCAGTGCTCATCCCCACAAGTGCCCTCCTCCATGCCCATCATCCCCCATACCCATCAGTCCTCAGTTTGCCTTGAGGTTTATTTAGTTCTGTCCCCTTGCCGTGTGTGTGTGTGTGTGTGTGTGTGTGTGCGCACGCGCACGCGTTTCCTTTTGGATTGAGACCCACTTTTCTTGTCCTACTAAACTGCTTTATGGCCAGCTGTCATCTGTGCTGCAGTCAGTTTTACAAATCCCCAGAACAAAGCATGCTCAGCTATTACAACCAGGCAGGGGTGGGGGTGGGGTGCCTCTGCCAAACTGACAGGTGGCTCACAGGCCAGGCCATCCGTGGTGCACCTGACCAAACCCTTCACTGGAGAACATGGGTGTCGTAGCTGTCCTGCTATAAGTCCACGCAGTCTGTGGTGCTGGCTTCCAAGTGCTGGCTTGTCCTACTCTGAAGGCATTGCAACAAGAGGTTCAGAGGGCACTTAACCACCCCTGCCCGACACCCCACATACTCAGTACTGTACAATCCTAGCGGGTTAGTCTTTGCTTTTGGATTATATCAGAACAACTAGCTGTCTCTGGTTTTCATTTATGCTTTCTCAGTAAAGAGTCATTTTTACCTCAGTTCAGCTTTCATAATTCTTAGTCCTGGGCATTCCAGGAGAGCAATAACTCCATAGGGTTCCTGTTAACTCAGCAATAACCCAGGACAGCACTTGTTTCAGCTTTCAGCTGTGGTGTCTGCCGCACCTTTGATGAGGTTATTGCCTCCAGTGCCCTCTAGAGTGTCACCTACTTAAATCAGGCCTGGCAGTAAAAGGATGTGGTTTATCTGGTCTGTTTGACACTAATATTCCTTATTCCTAGGCTGGAAAACACTGGTGGCTTGGGGAGGTAAAATATACTTTGGGACCTGGTCGTATGTCCTAACAACACTTTTGTCCTTGATTTCTTAGATAACCTACACAAACCACTTATTTGTCTAGGCCTAATTTGCTACCTCTCTGTACTGGGTTTAATGGTGTTTTGCTTATCCCTCTCTAGAAGGTGATTGTAGATAAATGGGATTGAAACATGGTGATCAAGACAGGAGATATTGTCTAGGACTAATCTTGTGATGCTGATTGATACTTGTCTACTGAGAAATCAATCAGTAGATAATCCATAATATTAATTATTGGTATTCAGGGCATTAGGAATTGTTGAATGCAGGAATTTCCTATTTTAAGTTAAATGCTGACTGAACTCTGAAATCAAGTTAGAACCAAAGAGGCTTCTGTCTCCCTATCTCTGAGGAGGGCCGATCTTAATTCCCCATTACTTCCCACCTCCAGGTTACTCTGCCTCCTCACATGACCCCTGTGGCCCAACCTTTTTCTTCTTCTTCTTCTCCCTTACCTGGGCCATCTTCTCAAGCTTGGACTTTATATCTGCTAGCTCTAGCTGGGCCTCTTGAAGTTTTGTTTTCAGTTTTTGGTTTTCGGTTAGGGCACTCTCGTAGAGCTGAGGGGAGGGAAAGAGAATCGGGTCACCTACTAGGCAGGGCTCCCAGGATCAGAACCCACTCAGTTTCATCATATGAAAACCCCACCCCCCCCAAACCATCACTGTGGGACAGATGGAGAAGATGGAGGAAATCTAGGAAACAGAATACATTCAGCCAACTGGTTTCTTGCTTCTTAACACTGAAGTCCCAGGCTCCACACACAAATAGAATGGCTTCAATAATGTTAGTCTCTGGGGAAAAAATAGTCATTGTGGTTCTCCATACAAAGAGAATTATTTTTTTTAGAGCCGGCCTAGTGTGTATATTGATTTTAGTCAGGTTCTGCTTAATGCAACATTAACAAAACAAACATTTCTAACAAAAATGGTTTCCTCCCCTGGTACTTCAAGCACTTAAAAGGGAAGGTTTTAAAGTCTGCCCCTGGTGCTTGGTACTCTTTTGCAAGAACCAAAGGAAATGAACTGTAAAGTGTTTTAAACCCCCTCCAATCCAGATTACCATCTACTACCACCAAGAACTATTTGGTTTGGCATTCATGGGACCCCATGAAAAAGCATGTGTTTGTTAATAATACCAGAGTCTACCAAATGATTCTCTGGGGCTCAGACACACAGCATGACTTTTATTTCCCTTTCTACAATTGCCAATTTTTACTTTTTCCTACACCTCTGCATATCTGATTCTAGGCATATATTTACTACACTAAAAACAATACATGAAGCGGTCTTTATGAAGCTGATGGAGAGGTGGAGTGACCCGAGAACCTGAAAGGAACTCGTTGTTACTATTTATCACGCAAGCACCTTTTCTTCTGCTTCATCAGAACTGCACTCATTTTTCTACACTGGGGAAAGGGCTGAGAGGTCTGCATGTTGTAACCCAAGAACAGGGAAGTTGACAAGAGATCCTACTTGTTTATAATCCCTGTTGCTGTCCTCCTCCGTGCGGCTGGTCAGGCTGGCAAGGCGGGCCTCCCGTGCCTCCCGGCGGGCTCTTGCTGAGGCCCGGTCACGGTCACCGTAAGAATCGCTGCTGGTAGGGTTGCTACCTCCTGATTCCAACCTGTGGGAGACACATTACAGGTAAACATTGGTTTTGAGACAAAGAAATGGGAGGAAGATAATGCTTAAGGGTAGTTTAACCCCTTTCTAAGAAGCACTTGAACACTCTGGCCAGAAACCACACATATTCCTTCCCTGAACCTCCCTTGGCCAGTGTTCTCGGACCTCAGGGCTAAGCTGTGCCAGCTTAGAGGGGGTTGTCATTTGCCAAGAACAGAGCTTACTTGAAAAGTCGGTGGTTTGGACCCATGTGCTGACTTAAATCTTAGAGCTTTTCAAATTAGTTTTGGGTTGAACAGCTTTCCTCAAGAGTGAGCTTTTAAAAGCAGAAGTTTCTTGGATCGCAATGGCTCTTAGAAAATGATTCCAATTAACTGTCAATGAATCAGAAACATATGGACTCAGAGTTCGGAGCTGGAGGGTGGATGGGGGAGGAACAAGGAACGAGGGCACGGTGCATACGTTTTCTTGGTGCACTGCAGGTTTGTTGGAATCTCAAACATTTTAGGGTACCTCCACTGTGCCCAAACAGCTGTTTTCTACCCTCTGTTCTAAATTCCACATTGAGACTGGTGGGCTATGATGAGGATCGCTACCTTTTGCAGCAACTGAGCTCTGAGAGTTGATGGCCTCATTTCCAGTAGTGGTAAGTGCATGACTGGCAGGGCCCGTCAACTGATTATCTGTTTAAGTGTACAACTATCATTCTGATTCCACACTGGCTTACACTGTTCTCAGACTCTGTTCTTTGCAAATGAAAATGTGGCACATAAGACTGCTATGTACAAACCAGCCCTGCAGAGCTCTACATCCCCAAACTGGGATGGCCTGAAGAGTCACAGCTGGGGAACTTCCATTTGATGTCTCTGTCCTGTGGTAGCTACTGCCAGAGTTGGGGGTGGAGGAGCTACAATAAGTAGTAGAAGAAGCAGAGGAGCAATAAGGAGGTCCCAGAGTGGGGAGAAGCAAAGCTCTTAATGACATTAATAGCCGCTTTGTCCTACAGAGCTGCTAAGCCCTACAGCATTCTTCATAACTTTGTTTCTTCTTACGTTCATTTAAAAAAAATTGTAAATAGAAACCTCTTTACTGACTTTTCTTATTACAAAAGCAATACATGTTTATAGAGAAATTTAAGTAGTACCGAAATGTCTAACATAGAAAGTGAAAGTCACTCCACCCGAAGAAATAACCCACTATTAATCATTTACTTCATATCCTTGCAAAAGGTTAAACACATAAATACGTTAAAATATATATTGCTGTAAATAAAATCACATAATACACACAGCTGTCTAACTTTCCTTCTCCTTCCTACACTGATCACTATTCCTGGAGGCATCTTACTGTGTGAGTAAACATACTTCTGCCTCATTAAAAACAAAACGACCGCAGTCTTCCACTGTATGGCTGTATGATCATTTAATCCTCTACTGACAGACACTTAGATTTTTGTGATGATGCTGTAGTGAGGAGACTGGTCTATAAATCTTAGTGCATTTGTCCACTTATTTTCTTTGGATAAAATCTTAGACGTGAAACTCTTTAATCAAGGGGTAAATATATTTTCCCACTTTTTATTTCTGCTTAGGGTACCTTTCACTAGCAGAGATTTTAAGTTTCATATAACTAAATTCAACAATTTTTACCTTTATGGTACCATGCCTGGGAGTATCTTTCCTATATAAAGATTACAAATCATTCTCTTCGACTGCTTTTGTAGTAAAACCTTTTGTCTCTTAAAAACCGTAATCCATCTAGGGGCACCTGGATGGTTGGTTGGGCGTCTGACTTCAGCTCAGGTCATGATCTCACAGTTTGTGGGTTCGAGCCCCGTGTCAGGCTCTGTGCTGACAGCCAGCTCAGAGCCTGGAGCCTGTTTTGGATTATGTATCACCCCCTCTCTCTGACCCTCCCCTGCTCACGCTGTCTCACTTTCAGAAATAAATAAAACATTAAAAAAAATTTTTTTAAAAACCTGTAATCCATCTGGAATCTGGTTTTGTTTTTGTTTTTTTTTGGTATGGCTTCAGGGAAGGATCTACTTTCCCAAATGGGGAGTCAGTTGTCCCAATGATTACTTATTAGAGAACTCTTCCCCTGCTGAACTGAAAAATCACCTTATATACCTTATACACAATGACTTTTGGGGGTCAGCCTACTGTGTTCCATCAATATCTTTGTTTATTCTTGAACTAGTACCTCACTGTTTTATTTAACCATTATTTTTACAGCACATTTTGAGGTCTGCAGGGAAAGTCTCTTTTCATGAATGGCCATTATAATGTACCAGAATTCACACACACAAAAAAATCAACTATAGCAAAATACTACTTTGCACCGATTTTGCAAAACTAATTTTCTGCTAGGTTAGGTGTAAATTATTTATCTTCAGCTGGTGCCTGGTGAGAGGGTAAGCAGCAGCAGAGTGCATGCAGGCGGATACATTTTGAAATATACTATTAAGGTAGAACCAGCTCAATTATCAAACAAATTATAAGACTCATTGCCCTATGCTATCCCATAACTACATCTTCTCTCAATCTCTTCTTAATTTCTCTATCAGAGGAACAGCAGAAAAAGAGAGATTCATACTTTTGGCTCTACAGTCTTTATTATTTTTCATTTTGTTCCTCAGGAAGATGAGTTTTATATCCTTAGATGCTAGGTGAAAAATTACAGAGGATCATGCCCCAAACTCTGATAGGCTTCCTTAATATTTCAGCAATTGTAAAATTGCTCTTTAGTTCATTCAATAAATTATTACTGAGCACCATCTAGGTACAAGGAATTGTGTTAGATCTACTATTAAGTGACCATATCTAATAATCTCAATTTGGGCATCTACCTTGCAAGTCTTCCCTGAACCACCAGATTAGGTTAATGGCCTCTTCTGTCTGCTCCTAATACCTGTCCATACTTCTATCGTGGCCCTTATGGAAGGTGAGGATAGCATTTTATTCATGTTGTTTCTCTTGCACAGTGCCTGCTAGGTGCTTTAGTAAAATTAATATAGTGGAAATATACAAAATGAATTGAAGTAGGAGAATATGAAGGAGGAGGTGAGTTGAAAAAGTACTGCATTAACTTAGGCAGGAAATAATAAGAGTATGAACTACTTTGGTGGCTGAGGAAATGAAAATAAAGGAAAGGATGTGAGAAATACAACTACCCTATATAAAGCTAAGTTTAATTAGACATGCACTTCTCACAAGTATTAACTAAGCATGCATATAAAACAGGGAAAGGTCTTACCTAGAAAGTCTTTCATGCTAGAGAAAGGAAGAGACAAAACAAAAACAAAACCAGCATTAGAAAGGGACTGATAATTATTATTTTCATTTATAAATGCACTTTTCAAATCAGATGTCTCAACTTCACATTTGCAGATAGGGGTGCAATTTAAGAAAAGCAATTTAACTGACTGCACAAAAGGCTACTTAGTACTTAGCTCACTAGATTTGAGACTTTAGGGGAGAGCATTTTTTTTAACTGGAAGTCAGCAAACGGTCAACTGATCAAAAACTGCACCCTCTCCCCCTATCCACCACCCAACCAGCATCCTTTTGTTATAGGAGGGAATGATTTTCCATGTGGCATTTAACCTCTCTGGATATCTAATATCCATTCTATTAACTTCCTTCAGTTCACAAACCCCCAACCCTGCCTGAGTGAATGCTGCAATCTAGAAATAGTAAAACTCAGGGCAGTTCCTGGTTTTACCCTACATCTCTAGTGAAACAAGATGAGCGAGAGGGTACAGAGAGGGGCTAAGTCCCATCCTAGTCCCTAGGATGTTGGTTTAAAAAATGAGAAGAATAAGAAAGTACTCTGCAGTCTCAGAAGAAAGTTTTATAGATGCAAACTGTTGGCTTGGTTATTTATCTATGGTCATTGTAAACAAACAACAAGAAATGATTGCATTGATATTTTACATTATTAAAAATCATAGATGATTATTATACTGTGTCCACTTATTTTTTTTTTTTTTTGAGGAACTCAGGCAAATAAAAACTCAGTTGATTTGAATGTATTACTTATTTCATCTTTAGAGGTTCTGAAGAACAACCAAGTCCTTAAGGGCACACAAAAGAAGGAAGAAGAGAAACAAGGGCCCGATAATCTACAAAACGAATAATAAATCCTTCAGCTACTGAGGAGCCGCTCAGACACTGCTCTGCTGAAGCACCAAACAGTCCCTGGAAACCACTGGTTTGTCAACCAACACAGCATGATCGCGCAATGTGCCATCCCCGAAACAGTCCAGAGTGTGGCGCAACAGCACATCTGACTAAAGAGGGACAGGACAGGTAAGCTTGCCGAAAGGTGGAATTCTCTCTCTAAATCAGAGGTTGTATTCACCAGAATTCTTTCATGTACTTTTTCAAAATGGGCACATCTCAACCTCAATCCTAGAGATTCTCTTTGCATAGGTCTAGAGTAGAGCCTTCATGCACATATTTTTTAAAAAGCCCCCCAGGTGATTCTGTTGTACAGCCCCGGTCAAGCACCACTGGACTAAATAGAAGCTTTTTAATGTACGGATGTGCCCTATTTGAGCTGGGGAAGCCAGTAAGAAAAGTATATGGTGTCTCTCTAACATTCTCATGCACTTGGGAGTTGAGTATACTAAAATTTGCTAATCTGGAGTTCAGGAATGTTCCTGTCTCACATTTATAGCTGAACTTCAGTGAGAGTCATATGCATACCCCACATTATACCACTTTATCAACATAAAGTTTCTTCCTCTTACCCGAAGCCTATGTTCAAAAAAGAAACTAAATTTTAATCACCTCCCAAGAATTACTTAATGGATAAATTCTTCAAGTATGCCAAGTAAAACTGAGATGCTGGACTGTTGGCTATGCCCACTCACGACCTTAGTGATAAGATCCAGCCATTAAGGCATCTGGGTGAATTTGGATTCACCCAGTTTTGCAGGAAAACTGTAAATTGTGACATGCCAAAGATTCATGAATTAAGAATGAACTCCACATGAGCAAATGTTAAGGGTCTACTGAATTTAAGAACCCACTGCATGCATAGGTGCCTGGGTGGCTCAGTGGGTTAAGCGTCTGACTCCTGGTTTTGGCTCAGGTCATGATTTCACGGTTTCATGGGTTCAAGCCCCATGTTGGGTTCTGTGCTGGCAGCTTGGAGCCTGCTTGGGATTCTCTCCCCTCCCCACCCCCCACCACTCGTGCTGTTTCTCTCTCAAAAAATAAACAAACTTAAAAAAAAAAAAAAAGAACCCACTGCATGCAGAGCCCTGCAGAAGAGGCACCAAGGAAGAATAAACAGAATAAGCTACATGACAAAGTCAGGAGACCACCATTAACATGATAAACAAGCTCGTCTGAAGCAATGGAGAGAAAACATGTGAGTAAGTGCTAAGGAGATAACAGTGGTAACCAGTGTGATCCAGCTACAAAGGCTTCCTAAAAGTCATGAATTTTAAGATAAGGTTAGAGAAATACGAAGATGTACATACATACATTTAAAAACAAACAAACATGTCTTTATGGTCAGGGGTTCCTTATCCATGATCCATGCACTTATTCCCAGTTACATCCTCAGGGACTACAGTGCAAGGACATGACAGGTGCTCAGTAAAGACTCACTGAACTAGGGGCGCCTGGGTGGCTCAGTCGGTTAAGCGTCCGACTTCAGCTAAGGTCATGATCTCGTGGTTCGTGGGTTTGAGCCCTGTGTCGGGCTCTGTGCTGACAGCTAGCTTAGAGCCTGGAGCCTGTTTTGGATTCTGTATCTCCCTCTCTCTCTGACCCTCCCCTGCTCACGCTGCCTCTCTCTCTTTCTCTCTCTTTCTCAGAAATAAATAAAACATTAAAAAAAAAAAAGACTCACTGAACTAAACTGTTTATGTTTAGGAAGGCGTGTAATGTCATTGGCTGGACCTGAGCTCTAACTGTTGCTCTGACATCTCCTAACTATGTGACCTTGAGCAAGTTGCCACTTACTTTTATAGTAAGAATTAAATGTGATAGTTATAAAAGGAAGTACATGCTTAAAATGTCAGCTTCCTCTCCTGCCGTCCCTCCCCTCCCCACTCCATTCCCTTTTTGGTTATAAAAATACTATATTGGCTGCTGGGTTAGAGTAGTGAGGTTAATTTAGGACCTTTGATGCAGGGGATGGAGCTCACAGACAACCAAATGAAACAATTTAGGAGAACATTTACTTTCTCATGCTGCTTCTAGGCAGAACTGCCTTTTCCAAACTTTATTATCCATATGGGAGAACAATTATTATTAATTTTTTTCCCTGGGAGAACCATTTGTGTCAGTCTCTCCAAAGACAGACATTCCACACCATCTCTTAGGTATGGAAAGAGACCTATTTATAATCAAACTGTTCTGCCTTGTGCCTTCTTTTGCTTCCTCCTACTGGAATCCAAGTCTATCTTGCATGGTGTGCATTGACTGAGGTCTGATTAACTTACTGACAAATCATGTTCATTTATTGACTTTTTCATTCCTGAAATGCGGGACTTCATTTGAAAATGTGTTAGTTTCCTCTTTGTAAATGTCTAATCTGTTGGGTAGGATTTTAGCTACATCTTCAGCTTTAAGTTGGCAGGCCAGCAGCGTAGACTCTGGCGGTTAAATGTCTAATCTGCTGGGTAGGATTTTAGCTACATCTTCAGCTTTAAATTGGCAGGCCAGCAGTGTAGACTCTGGCTGTTGCCTCTACAGTGAAGAAACAGTGTTTCTTTTTACTAAAACAAAGAAATTAGGATTTTACCAGGTATCTGTCTTAGCCATTACATATATATCAAAGCATGCTAACCCTTTCCACCGATCTATTCTTACAAGAATGACATGCGATTAACCTTTTTTCATTTAGATTGGTTTGGAAGCACTATGAAGCTATTTATGCCCTGTCATCACATCCAAGAAAGTTCTCAGATACGTTAACAGTATAGTATGGCTGTATGTACCGTACGGCCTCCACTGAGGAGGCTGATATAAAAAAATGAACGCTTAAAAAGAAAAAATCGGTTAGCACCACCAAGCAGCCATCAGGTTTCTGCATGTGAAATGGTGGATTCCACAGGATTTTGAAGAGGCCTAAACGAATGCCTCCACAGATGCCGGCATGTAGAGGAAGCCAACGCAAAGGGCGCTCCAACCTGTGCTCGCCCTACCCGCTCTTGTCCCTACGGGCATGCTGGAAGATGTTTCCCACAGACAGCCACGTAGGAAGCTGATGAATGACGCTGGTGTCGGCCTGCTTGGAGTAACTAAAAGCAAGTATCACAGTCTGTTTATCATTTTTTTTAAAGGCCATGTTAAGATTTGTGTTATCAATTGACTTGGGGGTGAACTTAACAAAGAAAAGTTTGGGTGATGAGTGATCCAGTAGACATCAGGGTAGACAATGTGCCTACATCAGATATCAGAGGAAGTAGGACTTTTTTGGTAAAGTTTATTTTGTTCATTTTAAGGAGAGGGAGGGGAAGAGAGAAAGGGAGAGAGCAGTTAGTGCAAACCTGCACGTTAGTGCAGAGCCTAATGCAGGGCTCAATCTCACAAACTCTGAGATCATGACCTCAGCTGAAATCCAGAGTCGGATGCTTAACTTACTGAGCTACCCATGTGCCCTGAAAGTAGGACTTTTAAAAAAATTTTTTTTCTTTCTTTATTTTTGAGAGGGAGAGACAGAGCAAACAGGGGAGGGGCAAAGAGAGATGGAGAGAGAGAATCCCAAGCAGGCTCTGCACTGTCAGTGTGGAGCCTGATGTGGGGCCTGAACTCACAAACCATGGGATCATGACCTGAGCCAAAATCAAGAGTAGGCTGCTTAATTGACTGAGCCTCCCAGGGAGCCCACAAAAGTAGGACTTCTTAATCCTTGATCTTTCCTCAGTACTTCTGACATCCTTTTCCCACCCACTGCTTTTAGCTGACTTTTGGAGCTATCTGGAATACTTGGGTTTTTTAAATTATTGTTTTCAAGGGCTACCTTAGCTATGTCCTGGGAAGGTCAACCCAACCAATAGAGGAGAATATATAGACCTCATGAATGGAGATGTGGATGCAGTAGAGGTAGCACATTACCATAATACAATATCATTTCAAGGAAGGAAAACAACTGGGATTTCTAAAGACTATGGTATTCTCAATGATAGAAATTAGCTTGAGTATTCCTATAGGGCTGAAAGGCAAGCCAGCTTAAAAGTATACAGGATTTAGAGCTCAGTCCCCCAGCTTCTGATAAAATGACTTAGGTTTTTAGATCGTACTTTCTCATTTTCACTGGTGGTATACCTCTAGAAACTATTGTTTTGCTTGGCTTCTTGATATTCTAGATAATCTGGTATTTGATGAAAAAACACTGGTTAGATTTAGGGAGAGAAAAGTTTACGTTTCTTGGGTGAAAGGAACAGAGCTGCTGAATTGGTAGAGACTTAACTTCATTTTCCCTTTTCATCTTGCTGTCAGTCAAACTAAGCAGAGTTCACTGTTACCCTGACACTGCTTCTCATTCTAAAAGGCTGACTACCGTCCCTTCAGGGAGACTAGTCAGTGAATGGGGAGAGCTGGGGACAAGATAGAGTGGGGGGTTGTGTAAGTGGTCTCAGGGGAATGATGAGCCAGGAAGTGACATCATAAGAGGTGAACAGAACACAGGCTAGGGAAATGAACAGTGAAGATTCTCCCAGAGAAGTTTCTAAGAAGTCGGTCTACTGGGCAGCAAATAAGAAGAGGTCCTACAACACAGGGATCAGGACCCCAGCCAAATCTAGGATCTTTTGGAAGCTAGGAATGTGAGTTCCTCTTACCTATGTTCTGGCAATAGCCCTATCTTTCGCTGTAGACTCTCTCTTTTTTTTTTTTTCCTTTAAAAAACAGAATAGTTACTCTTGTTCTACTCTTTCGGTAGGGTCTGAAGAGCTTATCTGTACATGATGACACCATACATTTCAGAGAAGACATGAGTTTTCTACCCTATTTGCAGGTTAACACACACACATATTATGTCACATGCTCTAGTCAGGAAGTCTTAGAAGGAACTTCTCTAAGTGTTTTAGTTGAAGATTCTTGCTCTACCTTCTACTAAAGACAAATGAATGATGGCTATTAAGGTGAGATTCGTCAGTGTGTCTGAACTAGATAAAAACTGTTCACAAAAGAAATTACTTTCACAGCTTTTATGGCTCAACTGGGGGCATTAGATATTGTGAATGAGACCCTGGAGCAGAAGAGACTAAAAGTTGCTCAGAAACCAGTATGAATACAGAAAAGAGATAAAAAGAATGATTAGCTAGATAGACCATAGTTTTTTAAAAATGCTCTAAACCCAAGAAGCAGGCCCTCTCCTTTCATGCCTCTTGAAATTCTCCCACAGTAATCTCATTGGTTGGGACCTGTTTCTAATAACAGAACAGAGTGAAGATCGCCAATAATTCAGATGGCAATCCTGGAAAGGGACAGGAACCAGGCCGGTTTTGATTTGTGAAATGTGTAGGGCTCTTACAACACCAGAGACTGACTTAGAAAAATCCCCACAAAAGCTTTTAACTTGAAAGTTATCGGGAGTTCAGGAAGGCACATAATTAAAACCAAACTCCTTTGACCAAGTTTAAAATAAAATTGTGGCTCTGGAAAGCTGGGCCCAAGGGAAAGGAATGAGCCCAAGTCACATATCTACTGCCAAGACTCAAACGGGTTTAACTTATGTTCCTTTGGAGTTAGGGCCTGACCCCACAGTGATGGGAAAAAATCTCCTATTTACATTTTCCCTGAGAGGGACTAAGCAGAAAGAACATTTTATATCATGTTCTCGTGCACTGGCTGAGCCAGGGGAAACAATTTGAGCTATTCTGGGATGGCCTACAGAGAGCCAGCCTTTCCCTTCAGTGTTCTCAGATTGATGACTGATGATGAACACGTCAAGGATGGGAGTGTGCCTGCAACACGGACATTTCAGATTTGTAGGGCTACTGCCCACCTATTCATGATCCGAGCTAACTGAAAAGTAATATATTCTATAGCTTTTTGAGTTTAAGAATCATTCTGGTTTCCTACATGTGCCTAGGAGAGACATAAAGGCTTTTTAGCTTTCTACCTTAAGGGGAGAATACCCTTTATAACTCAAACAGGTGGGGTTCTTGAGAAACTTGAGAGTCTACTGGTGTCTAGCTTTGAAAGGGATCTTTCTGAGTCTATTGTTTCTGAGTCTCTATTTGGAGATCCTGCATAACTTGGAAATATAAAAGGGGGGAACAGAAATTTTCAAGATTTACACAGAGATATGAGAGTAGAGGTCAATGATGGTGAGGCCTGTATCAGGTTTTTTTCTCCACATCGAAAAAATGAGTAATTCCTTAATATCATAAAATATTTCAGTTGTATTAGATTTCTACTGCTGCTGTGACAAATTATAAAATGTAGTGGCTCAAAACATCCGTTTATGGTCTCACGGGTTTTGTAGGTCAGAAGTCCAGCACTGCTCTTCTGGGTTCCCTGCTCAGGTTTTCACCACACAGAAATCAAGGTGTCTGTTGGATGGGCTCTTATTTGGAGGCTCTTAAGATCATCCCAGGTATGGCAGAATCCAGTTTCTTGTGGCTGCAGGTCTTAGATCTCCATTTCCTTGCTGGCTGTCAGCGGTTGGCTCCTCACTGCTCCTAGAGGCGCTCCCATTCCTACCCACGTGATCCCTTCCATCTTCAGGCCAACAGCGGCACACTGAGTCCTTTCCACACTTCAAATATCTCTGGCTTCCCCTTCTGTCATCAACCAAGAAAGCTCTCTGCTTTTAAGGGGTCATGCTATTAGATCAGGCCCACAAAGAAAAATCTCTCTGTCTTTTGGTCGATTGTGCCACATAACATAACCTTAGGAGAACTATCTCACCATACTATACTATGGGCTCTGCAGAATAGGCCAGGACACCTCTGGGGAGTCATTTTAGAACTCCAACTACCACAAGGAACCCCCTTTAAAAAAACATAGCCTCATTTATAACTTCCTCAAAGGAAGAAATGTCAACAGTATATGGCCAATTAGCGACAGCTGGGTGATTATATGCATTCACAGAATAATGCTGAAGGCACAGACTTACGATGGAGAAAAGTGTGCATCCCTGTGAGCAGCTGTATGTGTGTTAGAGTATACTTCAAAGCAAAATTTAGCTTTTAAAAGTATTAAATTACATATAACTTTATCATATTATACTCCTCGATTTATCCTTCTGAATTACTTAATACATATGGAACAAAAATGAACAAGAAATGCAGTACTTAACATTCAGTTTATATCATAAATATTTCTGAAAAATATTATTGCCAGATTGTGACTATCCAACTTAATATTTCATGTAGAACTGAGATGATGTAATGCCACCTCACATTACTATAGTACATCTCACTACATTTCAAGAGATAAAACATTGCTTATTAAATTATAGAAACAGACATCTTTGTTAAATCTATAAATTATGCTACCTAACTATTATTGGAATTTTACGGTTCTTATTATCTTTCTTTTTTTGTTTGTTTATTTAGTTTTGAGAGACAAAGAGAGAGCGTGCACACATATGTGCACATACAAGCAGAGGAGTGGCAGAGACAGGGAGACAGAAAATCCCAAGCAGGTTCCACTCTGAAAGACATGGGCTCAAATGCATGAACCATGAGATCATGACCTGCGCTGAAATCAAGAGTCAGATGCTTAACTGACTGAGCCACCCAGGTGCTCCTGTAGTTCTTTTCTGCATATCTTTTCTTTGTCGATATTTCCAGCTATTGAAGAATTTCTAGATTTTTTGGAACTCACAAACCACACTTATTATGGAAGGAAATTTATGAATATACTAAGGCCTCCCTAAAATAACCAAGGCAAGCCATTTTATATTTAAGATAATTCACAAACTGTTAGGATTCGTGAATATGTCTGCAGGCTCAGGCCCCTTCTCTATCTAGCCTTTCACATGCAGCACAATACATATGATGAAAACGACCAACAAGAATGAGTAGCTCTAAAACCAGTGACTCTAGCACATGGGCCACATTTCTCACACTTAACACATATTTTTACTTTCCCCATAGCTCAAGTTTTAGGTCCTTACTGCTATGCACAGCCACCTGAAACTATGGCAGTCCATGAAATATGTTCAGAGGATTTTAAAAAAGCAGGCTTAGCAAACACATGGGAAGAGAACCCTGATCATTTCCCCCAAATATTGTTAGGCATTGCATATAAACAGTCATAAATTTAGAAGTGTCTAAGTCAGTTTCCAGCTCTCAGCCTACTCCTCTGCTAAGGTTCTTCAACAGATGCTGTTACTGACCACCACTACACTTCTTTCAGGCATTAAGCTTTCCCTTCCCAAAGCCTGGGAAGAGATGGATTTTTTTTTTTTTTTTTTTTACACGGTAAATATCATCGTGTAGCGGCCTGGTTACGTAGCAGTTATTTTAAATTTGGTGAATCAAAACCTTTGCAAAGGGGTTAGTGAGGCTCTCCAGACCTCACATTTCAAGAGGAAATAAATACTTGGGAGCCTAAATAACAATGAGGCAAAACTTTTACTTCTAAGTAGGCCCCACACAAGGTCAGGGCCTTCTTTTGTTCTTAACCTTTTCTTTTTCTGTCCCCACAGAAGCTCATTTTAACTCACAGATGTTGGAGCTATAGATACACAAGAAAACTGAAATAAACAGATATCTGAATTGTCTTGGGAAGACCTATGGTTGACCTTCATTTCAGATATGGGGATTTCTAGTGTGTGTCCTCTGACTCCTTTCCAAGTACCAGCTCTGTGAGTGATACTTAGAGGAATAATATGGATATATGCAAGGGCACCTGGGTGGCCCAGTCGGTTAAGCATCCGATTCTCAATTTCGGCTTAGGTCTTGATCTCATAGTTCGTGAGGTCAAGCCCTACATCAGCGTGGAGCCTACTTGAGATTTTCTCTCTCTGCCCCTCCCCTGCTTGCATTCTCTAAACAAACAAACAAGTAAGTAAACTTAAAAAATGTTTTAAATGGGCATTTGCAGAATCGAAGCCATGGCTCTCTGATCTCAAAGATAAGCATATCCATAAAACAATGAGAGTGATGCAAGAAAGTGATCAAACACTAGACTTTCTGCTACATACAGCAAATAAAAAAGTAGGCAGAAAAGAGAGAGACCAGTACTCACTAGAGATATTCAGCAAGGCTGCATGGAAAGAAGAGGCCTAACTAGGTGGGCATGAAGAAAGACACTGTCATGACTGATTTATAAGAAGTCTGGCTCAAGATAGGACCTTGTTAGGGCCACAGTTATTGCAAAGTGCTACTGGAAGCTCTAAAAGATAAAGAACTGAAGCTTTTTTTGACTCCTCCACTAAATTTGATATTTTATACCCCTCATATGGATTTTAGCTCTTTAGATGCATAAGATTCTTCGGATTTATGGGACTAAATTTTGCTCCAAGAACAAGACAAGTATTTTGCAATGAAGAAATTTGGGAGAGAGGATGTATTTGCAATTTGTTTGATTTTGGGCAGGAGAAGGGTCCCTCAGATAAGAAAAACTTCAGAAATTTAGGCTTTTTGAATTCAGGACTTGTTAAATTATAACAAAAGTATAAGCATATTTTGTGCCATCTGTTTAAAAATTACTTTACCATTAGGAGGAACTTGACGGAGGAACAAGCGGGAGAAGAAGGGCGGAAATGGTGGGGGAAAGGGAGAGAGGCAAACCATGAGAGACTCTTGAATGCTGACAAAAACTGAGGACTGATGGATGTGGGGGGGAGGGGGGGATGGGCATGGAGGAGGGCACTTTGGGGATGAGCACTGAGTGTTATGTAGAAACTAATTTGACAATAAACTATTTGGAAAAAAAAAATAAAAAAAAAATTACTTTACCAAGCAAATTAATAGCATAAGAGAAATGACCTCACTTAAAAGATCTATTTTTGAGCACTTATAATACATAGCCTTAGAGCAATTACTTACATACAGTTAATACACTCATTAAAAATTCTAGACTATATCCCTTTAAGGGTATAGCAGATCTTTGTTCCTTAGCAACAGTTTTATCATAAACACTTAAAAATAATAAAACTGTACTTATTTTGAGGTGATGCAAAATTCTTATTTTTACCAATTTACACTTGTCTCTTCCCAAATTATGCTGTGAAGTTTCTCCTCTTTTTTTAAAAAAAGGTTTAATTATTACAATCTCTCTTCTCAAAACAGATTCAACAATCAGGGATAGTAATAAGAATTCAGGAGCTATTTAATGGAGACACTAGTTTTACTGGATTGGCTACACAGCTTACTGGTTAAATGCTCCAGCATTTACGAGTTAGGTGATCTTAGATAATTATTTAACTTTTCTCTGCCTCAGTGTCTCCATCAGTAAAGTGGGGGAAATGGTACCCAGTGTCTAATGTTATCAAAAACACTAAATGAGACAATCAATGTAAAGGCTTGGCACTGCACATGGCATATAGTAAATGTTCTATAAATATTAGCTATCGATATTCTACAGTTTTCTATGTTCTTCCATTCTCTCACATTCCTCTTTGGCCTCCTTGGCTCTGCCAATGCTTGTTGGCTGCAAGGGTAATAAGCTCGAACAAATTCCTTGGCACTTAAGCAAAGGGTTTTGATTATTTGTAGATTTGATTATCCAGGCTAATTCCTACCTACCCTTTTTAACCTACAGACATTTAAGGTCACCATTTTACTGTGTGGATAGTTATACTCTCTCTCAGATAACCAACCATGTGAAGTTAATAAGCAAAAAAGTATAATAACTCCTATATGAAAATGTTGCTTTCATAATGAACCATAAAGAATTTAAAGTCCAGACATACTCTTCTTAGATCTTTATCTAATCACAGACATACTCTTAATATCTTTATCCAATCACTGAACTGGTAGAACCCCCTGTATTGTGTAACCAAAGATGGCTGTGCTGAGAACTAACTCCTGGTTAACTGTGATTTACTGAGTAACAAACAGGTTAAGAACAGAAACAAAAAAGGGCTGAAAAAGAATAAAAGGCAGATGAAAGTCAACTCTAGTTGCTTCCCTTGGGTCTTCTGATGATAACTGTCTGCTCACACAAATATTATGAGATTGAGAAAGAGATGTAAAAAACAATGCTAATAAATTGGGAATTTTTCAAAATTTGAAAAATCACCCCAGGTCACACAGCTGATTATGTACTGAAAATAAAACTAGAACCCTAAACTCTTAACTGACCCCAAAACGATCTCCTAAATTTCTGGATTCTTTGGGAACTAAAGCTTATCAACTGTAACACAGTTGACGACAAGGGCTCCAAACACACAATATATAATATCTGCTTTCCTGCATGTGACTCCAGGATAGGAAAAGCCATGAGAAGCCACATGCCTCTATCTGCTTGTTGTTATTACCCCCACCTCCCCCACCCCAAGGTGTTATTCTCAGCTTTTTCCTTCTGCTACAACTACTCCTTAGACAAGCTTACCACTCCCACGGCTTAATCATAAATATCAATGTTTTCAGCCCATAATATTCACCTGAGCGTTAGACCAATTACTTCCTGGATATTACTATCTAAATGTTCCAAAGTACCTCTAACTCAACATATCCAAGAGTGAAATCATTTCCCCACTTAACACCCTTTTTTCCCTCCCACATATGCCAACTAAGTTTTGTCATGCCCTCTTCTATGGAGTCACCTAAACCAGATCTCTGGGAGTTATCCTTGACTCTGCCTCTCACAGGCTCATCCTTACCCCCATTTTATTAATCCCCAAGTCTTGTCAATTCTACCTTCTAAACAGCTGAATGCTTCCCTGTACTGCCTGGAGAATGTCTCTGTTCAGGCCTTTATCATTTCTCAACCAGGAGTATAGCATTTGGGGCAACTGACTCAACCCCCAGGCCCTGCCTCTACAATCTAGCCTCCATAGATGCCAGAAATCTCTCTCAAATAAGCAATTCTGATCAGAGCAACTTTACTTCAACTTTTCAATCCTCTGTCTACAGGATAATTCCCCAAATGACATACTAAGAACCCATATAACATGGCCCCTGCTATGTCTCCGACTTCATTTCCTATTATACCCCTAAATATATCTTGTGTTCTAGCCACAGGCTAATGCATTTGCCACTTGATTGATCTCCTAAAACAAAAACCACCCTGAACTTAATTTTCATTTTTATCTCCCCAGTTAGGCTGTCCATTTCTTGATGGCAGGCACTATAACTTTCAGTTCTGAATCCCAGTGTCTAGTATACATCCTATTGCATAGCAGATGCTCATAGAATGTTAATTGTGGGAACATTCAAAATAAAGTAGGTGGCCTTGATAAACATTTATCATGGAACAAGAAAACTGGAGGGCCAAGGGTAGAACAGGGTCTGCATCTCTGTGTTGTCACCTGGAAATTCCATGAAAGGAACGGATACCTTCAAAACTCCCAGTCTTTCTGATTGATAAACCATGACTTCAGATGCCATTTCATCCAGCTTCATGGAGAACATGGATTAACTAGTCTATTATCTATCTAAGATTCCAAACGGGGAAGCTTCTTTTGTTTCTATAGGTTCTACTACTCTTGCATAGAAGGTTCCTTGTTTACAGAATTACTGCTTTGACTTTTCTTGAGTAGAATTTAAAGAAAAAAAAGAAAGAAAACAGATACCCTAGTGGTTTTAATGAGAAAGAGAAAATTGGTTAACAGAGTGCATCCTTAATTAACTTTATTCAGCCAAACAAACGTTTCTGATTCTATGACAATGGATTACAGAGTAAAGTTAAAAATGAATTCCAGATTGGTAGTGCCCATATGCAGTATGAGAAGTGGAAAGGATAAGATAATAAATACACTAAGGGCACCTGGGTGGCTCAGTCCATTAAGCAGCTGATTCTAGATATTCTGGATTTCAACTCAGATCATGATCTCACGGTTCGTGGGTTTGAGCCCTGCCCTGGGCTCTGTGCTCACGGCATGGCACCTGCTTCAGATCCTGTCTACCTCTTTCAGCCTCTCTCTCTCTTTCAAAAATAAATAAGTGATAAAAATATTTTTGAAAAGATAATAAATACACTAAAGAACTGTTTGGTGTTTGCCACAGGAGAGGAGAAAGGTCATGCGAAGAATGACTATCGATGCTGACAGTCTGAAGGCTGAGAGGCAGAAGGAGCCTGTTAACTAGAGTGTCCACAGAGACAAGGTCGCATGAAAGCAGCAATCCTTCAACCCTCACTTGTTTATCAAATGTTCTCTGATTAGTTTGTAGAGCTGGTTATAAAACAAGGTTAACTGTTCTCTTTATTTATATTAATGGCTATAGTGAAAAACATTATATAAAATCTTTGTAGATTTTCAGTTGAGATATAAATCCTGAAGGAGTAGCAACCCAGATTAAAAGGGAAAATGCTACTAATTTTGTTTTACAGATGCAGGTCCAATCCTATTATTGTAAATACCAACCAGTTGAAGAAAATCTGTCTAATTAAAAGATTCCCAGGGTTCAGCTGCTGACCTACTTATTTTAAGACGATTCAATATAATTAATATCAACTAAGCAATACAATTTGGACATTCTTTAGTATTTTGTTATCTTTGGATATACCTGTATTGAAAAACATTTTGTTAAATTAGCAAATAATAATTTGAGAATATTGACCAATGATTACCTGGCTCTTGCTTTCAAGTTGATTTAAAACTGCTAAACCATCTAAATTGATTAATTTCTAAGTTAACAGAATTTATATACTTGAGACCCAATAATATAAACAGTGATTAAAAACCATGCGCTAGAGGGGCATCTGAGTAGCTTAGTCAGTTAAGCATATGACTTTCGCTCAGGTCATGATTTCATGGTTTGTGGGGTCGAGCCCTGCACTGGGCTCTGTGCTGACAGCTGAGAGCCTGGAGCCTCCTTCCAATTCTGTCTGGCCCTCTCTCTCTGCCCCTACCCTGCTCGTGCTCTCTCTCTCCACAAAATAAACAAACATTAAAAAAAAATCAGCTAGAGGTGTCTAATGTATTTGCAGTTCAGAATTTGTTTTTTTTTAAATACTGGAAAATAACATCAAAAGAAAGATTTCCTACTATTGTGTTAACCTGGCACTTAAGGTGGTTGCTTCAGAGTATGAGAACAGAAGCCTTCAAAATCTCGTAAATAAATACCTGGTGTGGTTCCCATTAGAAATCTGAATGAATCTAAAAGTTGTTCTGCTTTCCCTGAGCAAGAAAATCAGAGATGAGTAGATCTGTTACTCAGGGAGCTTCCCAAATTTTGGAAACAAAAGAGATGTTGAACAAGTGTGAGCCTAGTGTGAAAGCAAAAGACTTGTTAATTTTCCTTATGGAAAGAGAGATCTATTTTTTCAAATTATTTTTTTAATATTAATTTATTTTTGAGAGAGAGACAGAGATCAAGCAGGGGAGGGGCAGAGAAAGAGGGAGACACAGAATATAAAGCAGGCCCCAGGCTCTGAGTTGTCAGCAGAGCCTGATGTGGAGCCCAAACTCATGAACTATGGGATCATGACCTGAGCTGAAGTTAAACGCTTAACCAGCTGAGTCACCCAGGTGCCCTGAGAGGGATGTATTTTTAAAACTCATGTTTAACAGGTTTTAATTCAGTGAATGAAAAATATTATTTTGAAATAGAAACTAGAGAAAGTAAACAAAATCTTAGCTGGTAAGACACATACTATCTTCCATATATAAGTGATTTTTTTTATTAGGGAGGGTACTAGTTGTACAAACTCTAGGCAAGCATAGATTTTTATATGATGAAAATGGGCCCTAGGGGCACTCGAGTGGGTCAGTCGGTTAAGTGTCTGACTCTTGGTTTCGGCTCAGGTCATGATCTTATGGTTTTGTGAGTTTGAGTCCTACACTGGGCTCTGTGCTGACAGTGCAAAGCCTGCTTGGGATTCCCTCCCCCTCCCCTCCCCCCGGCCCCGACCCCACTTGCGTGCTCTCTCTTGCTCTCAAAATAAATAAACTTAAAAAGGGGGGGCAGCTTACTGAGTTATAGAAACACTGAATTACACAATATTAAAAGTATCAGAAGCTGCTGAGAGTTTAAAAGTAAAGGTAAGATCAGATAGTTTTCTAGTTTTTTAGTTTTCTAGTACTGACAAATCATCCTACTATTTGTTTCCTCAAGTTATGAATAATACCTGTCTGAGCTGCAGTTTATAGTTTGCCCATCAGGCTTCTTGAACATTTGACCAAGAGCAAGGTGTTCAAAGTATTCTTCCCATGTGAATAGCCATCATTTAAAAATTTCCTTTGAGGGCATTTTCCTTATATGGAAGCACTTAATATTAAGTCTCTTTAACAACAGTGAAGAAAAAATCATAAATATTTATACACTGGCTCAAGACTTCAACCATTTGTTTTGAAGAATGTTGGCTCCAGAAGCTATACCTCTTTGTGGAACTTCTAGGAGAAAACCAAAAGTTCACAAGCAAAGTTTGAGGAGAGTGAGAGTTGTTCTGATTTTAACTCCGAAATGCACAGACATTCCCCAGCATCTTTATTCAAGCATTTCTACCTCCGAGAGAAATACAGAGACCTGTAGCCCACAAGGTCTCAGGCTCTGTGGGGTCTGTGGTTTCATATGCTCTAACTAGGGTTTGAGAATCAAGCGTGGGAGATTCAGGATCGCCTGCCAACTCCCTCCCTTGGTCTGTAGCTGCTGCCTGCCTCATTCCTGCAATTTCAGTTTCCTGGGTCCTCATTATGTCTGAATTTTGGATTCCCACAGCTACCCAAGCTCTTAACTGTCATCTGTGACCCTAGCATGTCCTCAACTTTCAAATATATTTGATATGTAATCCAGTGTTGTGGATAAATATGGGTTTTGGAGCCAAAGAGACTGGGCTCTACTGCTTACTGGCTGGCTGAGTGATGTGGGTAAGCCGATTTTCTTCCATGGACCTCAGTTTCCTCAGACATAAAATGGTCATAGCAACACCCACCTTTCAGGGTGGCTGAGGATTAAATGAGGTAACAAAAATGAAGCGGCAGTCAGTTAAATAACCAGGCATCAGAAGGCAGATGAGCACAACATCACTGCCACAACACTAGGTGTTAAAGAGCCCCACATACAGAATTAAGAGGAGGGATGGTCATAGCATTCAAAACCGGTTTGTAAGCAACACCCTAATTAGTCCGGACATGAGAGGAAACTAGGCTCCAGGGGAATCTTAGGAGATAAATCTTAGTCTTATAGCTCGTTCAGAGTGTCAACAGCTTCCAAATTAGTCTCACATATCTTTCACTCTCTCAGTAAAGACACAAGCAACATAATGGAACATGAATGATATGTGAAAATCAACACTCTCTATACTAGAGCCTCAGGCCATGTGGACCTGGAAGTTGGTTACACTAAGCAGATGCTATTATGGGAACCCGCAGCCGCTGACCACTACAATTGGGAAGTAGTCTCTTATTAAGGCCATTCACATTTTGGTTTCCTGTAATCCAAATTTTCAAATTCTTTTTTTTCTTTTTTTTTAATGTTTTATTTATTTCAGAGAGAGAGAGAGAGAGAGAAAGAGAGAGAGAGAGAGACAGCATGAGCAGGGAAGGGTCAGAGAGAGAGGGAGTCACAGAATCCGAAGACAGGCTCCAGACTCTGAGCTAGCTGTCAGCACAGAGCCCGACGTGAGGCTCGAACCCACGAACTGTGAGATCATGACCTGAGCTGAAGTCAGACACTTAACCAACTGAGCCACCCAGGTGCCCCAAAATTTTCAAATTCTTTCCCACTGTGACCTCTTGTCTAAAATGTCAGGGATAGGGGAGATGGTGGAGGGAGGGTGGAAGGGGTGGATGGCAGCTGTTAGGAATGAGACAAGAAGAAAGTAGTACTTAACAGTAAAGAAGAAGTGCATTCAAACAGAGAATAAGGGGGGGGTGGGGTGTTGTCACCAGAAAGATTTTGTTGCGTGCCCATGAGCTGTCTCACACACTGCTCTGTGAACAGTGCTTATAGCCGTGAGCAAGTGCTAACAATGGGTTCTTTACACCAAAAGGTATTGCTGAATTTGGTAAGAAGGGGGGAAAAAAGGGAAATGCTAACTGAAGTAAAAGTGCTCCAAATTGTGGACCTCATTTGGCGACCACCAAAAAGCAGCCAACAGCTGCTGCGGAGGAAGCATTCTGTGGCTTCTTAGAAAAGAAAGGCACCAGACTAAGCGCTGAAGAAACTGTCCCAGGACTCAGTGATGGTGACACTGAAGCCTCCTAGTCCACTCACAAAAAGAACTTATGAATGAAACAGATCTTTAACAAACCCCTGAATATCCCTAGCTGATGTTCTAGACCGACATGCCACATACCAAATTTTACTCCATGGTAATTTGCCCCAGGAGAAAGACATTGAAAATGAATATAAAAGAAAGAAACACAATAGGCAATTCAGGTTTCTTGCAGAGTTTCCCCCCAACAGTTCCCCAAATAAGGAAGCTATGACCATCATACTTCTTATTCGGTACATACAGTAGAGCACAACCTTGTTCCCTAAGAAGGAGCTGCTACCTTGCCCACTACCTAATATGCCCATTAGGGCTTCTCATAGCTTGCTATTGGTAGCACTCCTTGCTTTTGTCAGTTTCCTACAGAGGAAGACACTAAATCAGATGCAAATCACTTGTACAGAAATATTCACTAGAGAAAAAAGAAATCTCAAATGGATCTGCTTCGGGTATTACAATCACTTCCACACAGCTAGTTGTCAATAGCCAAGAGTTATTTAGAACTTTAGAAGCACAAAGTTTCCTGAGGGTGACTAAGAAGTGAAGACTCCAAGTGTTTTTTTTTCTCCTCTCTCTATCACTCAATGGACACACAAAATAGGCAAAGGTATATACACTCTCTCGTATACACACCTCCACAAATGTTTAAGAGGAGCTTGCACATAACTGACGTTGAACATATACAGTTTCATGGCGATTTGGGAGCTTTTTCTCTGGAAATATAGTATTGACCCACAAACACCAGGAAATGGAGCAATTAAAAATAGCCACAGAAATTAAGAAAGGCCTGTAAGACATAGTGACAAGGACTCTAAAAAAAAAATCTTACTGGCAGGCAGCTTACAACTAACTGATAGTTAAAAGCTAAAAGACAGAAACCGTAGTCTGGCATATTTATGTCTGCTTTTACTTAAGACTGCAGTAAGTATTATGAACCACAACCTCTTGCAGAAAAGCCAAAAGGGTCTTTACTTGCAAATTTTCTTTTCTCCTCTACTGACTCCCATATGCTCTGAAACGCCTTTGCTCTAAACCTCACTTCCCAAGTTACATATACGTTTTCTACCTGTGACACAACTAAGAACAGACATAAATAAAATGCTGCTTACTCGGAGCGTCTTGGCAGTCGGGGAGGGAGATGCTGGGGGAGAATCAGACTGAGACTTCCTATTCCGAGTGAATTCTTTACTTCGGGTATATAAGGAGGACATGGTTCCTCAGGACGTAGATGCACACACAGCTACTGGATTCTTCACACAAAGCTGAGAAAGTGCCCCTGCAGGTTACCCTCACA